TGTGGACTTCAACTCCCCGAATTCCCCAGACAGCCATGCTGGCTGGGGAATTCTGGGAGTTGAAGTCCACACATCTTTAAGTGGCCAAGGTTGAGAAACATTGGTGTAGTGGTTAAGGGTCCAGGCTAGAAAACAGGAGACTATGAGTTCTAGTTCTGCCTTAGGCATGAAAGCCGGCTGGGTGACTTTGGGCCAGTCCCTCTCTCTCAGCCCAACCCACCTCACAGGGTTGTTGTTGTTGTGGGGAAAATAGGAGAAGGAAGGAATTTGGGGTATGTTCGCCACCTTGAGTTATTTATAAAAATAAGAAAGGCAGGATAAAAAAAATCTAAAAAAAATCACAAGCAAACATCACAATGTTTGATTGAGGGAGGAAAATGTTTGATTGTTGGAGGAAAACGTGTGATTTTTGGAGGAAAAACGCAGGTTTTCGTGCCATCTTACGAAAATCTCAGGTCCCCAGGAACAGGAGAGTGAAACTGACAGACGTTCAGGAGTGAGGAAGTGAAACTGACCAACCCCTAAGAGAAAGTGAAACTGGAAGAGAGACGCTCACCTGTTGACCCTGCGCCCTTCCTGGGACATGGGCAGTGTGCCTGGTTTGCTGTTGGTCAGGGCTTCCCAAATGGTCACCTGTGAGGAGGAGAGAGGTGACTGGATTCCCTCAAAGCGTTACTTTGCACGCTGACTGGCCTGATTCAGATGTGACCCCGGCCTACGGTCTGCTGCTTCGGACTTCAAACCCCATCATCCCCCCCAGACTATGGTTTACTGGCATAAGCCACATTCAAGCCATGGTCAGCGAACTGGCCATCACCATGCGACTTCATGCAATAATACGGGTACCAGGAAATCATTAAAGCGATCAACCATTAAAACACGGAATGGTCAGAATCTTAGGAGAACTTAGGAGACCTCGGGGGAACTGAATCCATCCTTAGTGGAAAATCGTGGTTTAATTCTTTTAGCGGGTACCATGGAAGTGGGTCACGGCCCTTCTGTGACGAGTTCTACGTTGGCGGTGCCCACCTTAAGTGGCTAAGGAGGACATCTGGCAGAAGCCGCAGTGAGGTCCCAGTGACATCACTGGGCAAATGAGGTCAGGGCACCTGGGACATCCCTTACCCAACTGGAAGCACCCACGTGGCGGAGGGTGAGAAGATGCCACGGTGAAAAGCAGGAGAGGGCAAACCTCGCTTGGAGGCTGGCCGAGGAGAGCTCCTTAGTGCGTCTGAAGCAGACCGGGAGTGAGCCCAGATCGGGCCCTAGAGCGGCCCCCTCCAACGCGGCCAGGGATTCAGACAGAGACCAGCCTTCTCCATCGCTGGCTCCTGGACCTGTTTAACTGGCAGGGTCAGGGCACTAAACCAGGCTTTTGGCATGTGGCATGTCTCCCCACCGAGCAGAGTGGAGGACGTTCGGACGCTGGCAGCCGCTGCCTGACCCCAAGTGAAACTGACCGGGTTAGGACTATTCTGCCGGGCAAGGGACTCCTTGGTCACTCTCGGTGACTGAGATCTTTCCAAGCGGGGAAAGTGGCATTTGAGCAGGACAGCCAACTTCTGGGCAGGGGGTCTGCAAGGAGGGTCAAAAAAGTCAAAATGGTGGCCACGTCCAACCAATGGGAGCCCTGCTTTTTTTTATAAACGCAACCACGCTGCGACCCATGTCTAAACGGGATGGGCTTCAATTACTGTTCTGGCTGCCATGTGGACTTTTCGGACCTCCCCGTGGAGGCCCAGCTTCTGGCCCCTCTG